GTGTGAGATCTCCTACTGCTATCACATAGCATGAGCATAGCACTCATAAGTCTATCCACATTTGTCAATGTCCATCCTTGATAATACTACGACTTGAGACATTTAATGATATCATTTATGTGCATCAATTTTTGTCTCACATCTTTTGGTCAATCAATATTACAAATGCATATCATAAGGACTTCTATCTAATTCTACTGAATTTATCAACATGTAAACACAAGAATTAATAGAGTGATTTTTTTATTATTATTAAAATAAATAATACAATAATATATTAACTCGAGCCCATCCAAACATGATTGGATCTTGGGCACCAACACTAACAATTTGCACTCACCGGATATGCATGTATGTATGAAATTGTTACGACTAACTTGCACGCATAATAATAACTATTCTTTATTGATGTTATTGTGTTCGAGTACAAAGTCAACTCGTATAGTAAATGATGGTGATGACATTACAAACTTCATAATGATTGAGAAATCTAGAAAAAACTTCTTCAAAAACTCTACACATAATTTTTTTGTTCATGAATAGTTCAAGGCCCCTTATAAAATTCCACCAGTAATGGCTAAAAAACTTATGAAGAATCATATATTCCAAATATACTTTAGAACTTTTAAAGAAAAAAATAGCAAAAGTGACATCTTAGTTAACGTTGTCTTTCAAGATGATTCGATAATGGGATCCCCGCCACCCTTTATTAAAACATGTTAATAAGCAAGGCACATCGATGCAACCATTAGAGACATCTACAACTCTAGATCATGCTTTTTCGATCCCCACTAATCCATGCACACCAGCTATCAAAGAAGGAGATGTGTTTTTACCTTTGTCCAAAGCACCAATAGAACAATAGCACTGTAGACAATTTGAACAACCTAGATGATCGTTTAGCCACAAAGAGGATTAGAATTTCCAGATGACCCCATTGAAATTGAGAACCAAGGGTCCGTATAAAAATATTTACTTACCTTCTATTACGTTTGGAACCATCTCATTTTATAAATAATAATAATAATAATAATAATAACCTCTATTGAGTGACAATAATGACTTGATGTAGAAATAACAATGAGTTACTACAAACACCATGAGTGAACACAACGATTTGAAACTCAAACAACCAATGTTTAGTTTTGAAAAAAAAATATATAAAAAAAAAAAAGAAGTCGGTTTTCCAACCACAACCTCTCTTAAATATTAACCGAAATCATTCAATTCACTAAAGTACTCTACCTAATGCAGTCGATCAAGCTTAGAACCATCCAGAACTTCGACTTTAAAGAGCTACATGAGAACATTGCACTCATCCAGGTTATTAAGTGTCATATTTTGAAACTAACATTGTTTTGTATTAGGATTCAAATACATTAATATATACTTATGCATTCAATCGAAAATTAAGTCATCTTTCCCCCGAAATCCATTTTGTACTCATGATTGCTTAAGACAATTTATGTCATAAAATTGAATATCCATCTTAAGCATTTGCCTCTTTTGCAAATTACTATCGTCGGATTATGCTTATACATGTAGCTATATATTATGTTATCTTGGCCTTGAAAATCATTTTCTCGCTTATGATTGGTTGAGGCAATTTATATTATAAAATTAAGTATCCTCTCGTAAGCATTTGCCTCATGGACATATTTCGTTGTCAGATTATGCTTATGCATTCAACTACATGTTATGTCATGTTGGCCTTGAAAAACCATTTTGTACTCATAATTGCTTAAGACAATTTATGTCATAGAACCGAATATCCATCTTAAGCATTTGCCTCCCTGTGTAAATTACTATTATTAGATTATGCTTATGCATTTAGGTGCATATTATGTTATCTTACCCTTGAAAACCATCTTCTCGCTCATGATTGCTTAAGGCAATTTATGTACAAAACTAAATATCATTTGTAAACATTTTCCTCCCTGTGCAAATTAATGTCGTCGGATTATGCTTATGCATTAAGCTACATGTTATGTCATCTTAGCCCCAAAAACCATTTTGTACACATAATTGCTTAAGACAATTTATGTCATAGAACTGAATATTCTTTGTAAGCATTTGCCTTATGTGCAAATTACTATTGTCATATTATGCTTATGCATTCAACTATATGTTATGTCATCTTGGCCTTGAAAACCATTTTGTACTCATAATTGCTTAAGATAATTTATGTCATATAACTGAATATCCATCTTTAAGCATTTCCCTCCTATGCAAATTATTGCTATCACATTATACTTTGCATTTAGCTGCATATTATGTTATCGTGGTCTTGAAAACCATTTCTCACTCATGATTGCTTAAGGTAATTTATGTAATAAAACTAAATATTGTCTATAAGCATTTGCCTCCTGTGCAAATTATGCTATCAGATTTAATTATTCCCTTCATCTATCAAGCTTTTAATTTACAATATTCAACTTCATCGTTTTTTTTTACTCCTGCAATTACCCTATAAATTAATTTTCTTAAATTTTTCATTTAAACATTCAACCACCAGCAACTATTCTTCATTTGATTACACACATATGTACATTCCCTTTTCTATTCTTTGTCCCCTCTTTTTGAATACATAAATATATAGTTAGACAACAATATATGATCTGTCAAACAAAATTTCAAAACTTATTTATTGAACCGTCTTCCAAACATGTGTCGAATAAAAAAATCCAATCATGAATCCCGCTATTTAATCACATATGTCGTTGGTTGCTCCAACAAAAAATAAAAAAGAAAAGGACACTTTCAAATCCACGGGTTATAGTAAGAAAAAAAAATTCAAATACACAACAGGAATTTATAGACTCATTCAAACAGCTAATGACCCACCTGAATCAGCAGCCTTTCCCCTCGTTACTAGAAGAAGACAGAAAAAAAAAAGTAAATGCACAGTAGAATAAGCAACACCAGCATTAAATAAATTAAAGTATAAATCTTTTGTTCACGTGCTATGCAACTAAAATGTTACATATACAAGCACAAACAAACAGATTTGTTTATTGCAAAGCTATCATGGCTGTCTATATATACAAAAGAACAAAGTGATCCAGCCTTAAGTCAGCGTTAAGTCATTCATGTGCTGACTTGATTTAACATGTCACATAACAAGTTTTATTTCTCACCCATCAAAAAATAGATGTAAATATGAATGGTTATTCGTTCACCAACACCTATGCAACTTTGCACAACCATCAAAAATCATCCTTGACCATGTGTATAAACAACCCCCCCGAAGGAACTCAAAAACGAAGCAAAAACCTTCCTTTTCCATAATAACCCATATCATAAATAACATAGCTTAAGACTGTCTCAAGCAACACTCACATACATGGATGAAGAGCAAATAAGAAACAGGAACAGGACAACCATCGAACACCTTCTCCAATCGTCAATCGATCGTGACAAGGTATGAACTAACATGCGTTTTCGATCCATTTATCAAGCCTTTCATATCTAACATAAATCATTATAATCATTTACGTAGAATATTCCATACACAATAAGAGCTGCGATTATCCATATAGATGCATCAAACAGTTGGTGGTATTTAGTATGCCCACACACTGCAAAAAAAATGCAATAGGTAACGGATCAATCTTTTCATGTTCGTCCCATTGGCTACTACAAAGAGAACCAATTCCACAGTCAGCTTCCTTTCTAACCATCCTTGCGTATTTTGCTATATATGCTACTAGTCCAGTGCCCCTATCTGATCATGCCAGCAACTAATCATGTTCTTCGTCTCTCTCTCTCTCTCTCTCTCTCGCTAACAGATACCGCATGACTTGCGTAATAAATGATGGTTGAACTGAAGCTAGAGTATTGATAGTTGGAACCGTTGCTGCCACATGCTTTGGCTACAGCTGCTAGCAACTACTTCAGACTTATGGATGGAATGGCAGAGGTCATATACCGCATGAATTGAACAATACCGTTGGTCAACACAAGATTTTTCGTGTTCGGCGTAACTCCTACTTCATGTCGATACCCGACCACCAGTTCATTGCTTTTGCAGTCTATCCTGAAGATGATCATATATCCCACAACAACCAGATTTGGTTCCTCATGACATATAAGAAATATATTAGAAGGGATAAGGGATAACGAAGCTAAGAATAATTAATTAGCCATTTCATTTTCTTTGTGCATTTGCTTATGTATGTAGTTCCTGATAATATAAGCTTTTATCACCCATGTTGTCTTCGTCAACATGTGCTATGGCACTTTCTAAGAAACCACTTCAATCCTTTACCCAAAAAAAATGCCTACAGGGTAACACAGGTATATAACTAGTAATAACACGGAGTATATAACTAAAGGAGGCACTCAATCCCCAGACAAACCAATAGAAATAATCACTAGCCACAATCGGCTGTGTTTGAGTTTGCCGAAGAGAAAAATTAACCATTTCAAAACCATAAAATCTCGTTAATTCATTACGCTTAAAACCATGGTTTTAGAAAGTTACCATTTGGCACTTTTTCAGTGGGTTTTTGGTCGACCACCATATAAGTTTATAAGCTAAGTTAGGTAGCTGGCGCACGCATACTAGCAGATAAGTGTCCTAATTCCTACTGACCTATTGCATAACTTCAATGATTGAAACCACTGCTCTGAAACTTTACACAATATAGAAAAATTTCCCCAGATAGATGAAGAAAAGAGAGCACGTGCAATAAATACATAAAGGATTGCTTTCCAGTCGGTCATCGTACCAACTTCTGCTATTTAACAACTATATTAACGTTACAAAAATAAAGAGCACAAGGCATTGAGTACATTCATAATTTGTGTCCTGCAGTTTGCCTTATAAGATCCATAAATGCACCCCATAAAGATTCATATGCACAGATTTTTAATATATATTCCTAAGGCGACTACATTGGGTTAACTTGAATATTAGAAACAAGATTGCAAAAGGGGGCATTGCCAAAACAAAAAATAGAAGTAAATCATGGATTTTCTTATCTATTGAAAAGGTATGGTCATCTCGGACCGGACAATTCTACAGCATGAAGGTTCTCTGTGGAGTCAAGGAGCCATTCAGAGTTTCGAGATGGAGCCAATTCAATATCCTGGCGGACAACCTCTACCTTCTGCCACTCTTCCCATCTTTCTGCTAATCCATCCCCTTCAAGCATCCTCACCACATCTGACATCTTAGGCCGGTCCATCGGGGAGCTTTGGGTGCAGAGCAGTGCTACTTGTATTAGTTGTTCTACCTCAGAATCAACATAATTGTTCTGCAGGTCTGGATCAACCAGCATTTCCAACTTCTTCTCTTTTAGAAGTGCCTTAACCTGCAAAGCTTGCAGAGGTTTTGTTTAGTGAATGAGCAATTCAGAGATAGATAAGTCACAGCAGAAAGCATGAGAACATTCAGCAGGAAGTTCACATCTGTAAAAAGATATGCATGCACCATCACATGCTGTGCCTCACCAGCCAATGTAATTATTGAAGGCACCTTGTTTTTCAGCAATTTATATGAAGAGTAAACGCAACTGAAATAATTAATCATTGGGATGAGCCATAATCAAAGCCCATATGGATCCTCCATGAAAATTAAATTCACTCTTTTTTTCCCCCGGAACAAATCCCTCATTGATCGGTATGGATGGGTCAATTCAAGAGTGGCAGCCATCATTGGAGAGGAAATAAGAGGTAGTCTAGGATGACAGTTTCCAAAATTAATAGCAAATCATCATATGATGATAGCACCAACTACCATTGAATCAGCCATTAAGATAACAAATTTCCAACCTAGATGCTTTTTAAAGAAGATGAATTCCATGAGACAACCAAAGAATCCCTAGTATTTCCGGAGTAGAATATCAAGGCCAGATTGATGAGGCATCTCCAAAGGCAAAGCAGTCTGTTAAGGCAGAAGCCCCAGTTTACACGAATGGCATGGAGATCATGTCTGCAAACTCTTCCTGAAGTCTTACAGGAATTTGAATGATCAATGTCCCTTACGTGAAAAACAAAGAAATCAAGCTAACAGATAAAAGGTGGTAAGAAACAAAATCCTGTTTCTTATCGACTCAATAAATTTTGGAACATTAAAGTTTTTTAGACAAACAATCATTGGAGTAACAAGGATGCAATGAAAACATTTGAGTTAGAGAACTGGGCATGGTTTGTATGAAGGAGGAGTGAACAAGCAGAGACAGTGAAGCAGTTGAAAACGCGGATTTAACTGACCAAAACTATGAGTGTTATAAAATTCATCCATGTATAAAACAAGTTCAACATGTACTATTATATATCCAAAGCTAACATTGTCGAAGCAAGATTAGAACATCATTAATGATTATGAAATAAACTTCCACAGCTTAAACATATATGACAGGAACATCTGACAATAACAGGGAAGGGAGTGAGCTCATTACCCAATCGAGTAGCATAACATCATCATCATTGGCAAGCCTTGCAAGATCAAATGCCCGCTGTCCAGTGATAAGCTCTAAGAGCATGATTCCGTAACCAAAAACATCAGTCTTCTCGGATGACTTTCCAGTGGAAAGATATTCTGGGGCTATATGCCCAATGGTTCCACGTACAGCAGTTGTGACATGGGTATCTTTGTAGTCCATAAGTTTAGCCAACCCAAAGTCACCAACAACTGCCTCAAACTCCTCATCCAATAATATATTTGCAGCTTTCACATCGCGATGAATGATCTTTGGGTCACAGTGATCATGCAAATAAGAAAGGCCCCTTGCAGACCCCAATGCAATTCTCTTCCTGGTCACCCAATCAAGAGGGGCCTCTGATGTCAGACGTTCTACAAGAATAAATAAAAAGGACCATGAGTACCAATTACACATAGAAAGAGTGTTCAATTTAAAATCACTATTGATATAAATGAAGTAGTGAGGTGATGGAGGCATGACAGCAGCAGAAACTGGAATGAGCATTAAAGATAGCTTTAGTATAAAAATCACAGACAGGAGTAAACCAAAGCAGTTGGATGACATTTGTAGCATAATGGTAGCAGAGATGACCTAAGAGCATGAGAAAGAACAAACAAGTAGTACCTCTTAGACAGGATGCAACACTTCCATTAGCCATGTATGGATAAACAAGCAGCCGTTCTGTCGGTGTCATGCAAAACCCACGCAATCGCAGGAGATTCCGATGCACAGCCATGCTGATCATTTCTACTTCTGTTTGAAACTGCAATTCCCCTCCTGGCGTCCGCTCCTCTTTAAGTCTTTTTACCGCCACCAATGTGCCATCAGCCAGGCGTCCCTTGTACACCTTACCAAATCCACCTCGGCCAAGAATGTTCTTGTTGCTAAAACTATCTGTTGCAACCAGTAGTTCTCGCAAAGAAAACCTTTTGAGCTGTCCCAAGTGGACTTCTGGATCTTCTTCAGCTGGAGAAAGAAAGAAGTTAAAAGAACATTCCAGATCCAAACATTGAAACTAGCCGATTTTGAAGGTGAAACACAAACCAGGTACATCAAAGAAAAGCTCTGGTGATCTCCTTCGCCTCCAGTATGCAAACCAAATAGCTGGGGCTGCAAACAGTAAAGCAGCACCAGCAGCCACTCCCCCAGCAATTGCTCCAGTGGGGTTGCTTTCTCCTGAAATGATAATGTAGTTCAGTCTCCTAATGCAAATTTGTTAGAACAAAACTCACTTTAACACATTGATTTTAACAAAACCACCATTTGAATAATAATTTCCACTTCCCAATAATAAGATTAGTCCTTAAAAGGACTTTTTTTAAGAATTTGGTAATTACAATAAAGCTATTAGTGCAAAAAGTGGTAGCTGCCATCAAACAAAGAAAAAAAATATTGAAATGCATGTGCAGACTATAGGGGACTGAACAAAGTAAATTAAACACCAACTATTCCCTTGGTAAGACACAAAGTGAAGATGGTCAAGCTGAAAATAAGAAAATATGATAGTATGATACAATTGTATTTTCACTATTAGTGAAAGAGATTACCAGGATAAGAATCGGTTGATGGTGGAATAAATGGAGGTGGTGGAGCAAATGGTGGTGATCCAGGGCAAGGCTTCCCTGTAACTGGGCCACATAGGTCCAAGTTATTTACAAAGCTGTTAAAGGCAATTACCAATTAGCTAATGGTTCCATACTGGACATCCAGAGTTCCAGATATAGAAAGTTCCAATTATAAGTTAAAACCTGATGGGAGTAAATAGTGAAAAGGAGCCATTATCTGGTACAGGTCCCGAGAGACGATTATTTGACAAGTCCCTGCAACCGAAATTGCAAAATGTTCATGTAACATCATTATAACCAAGACAGTACTGATGGCTGAAAAAGAAGAATGTTCAAGTTGGGCGCTTACAGAACTTGAAGGGCAGTAATATTTATCAAGGACAAAGGTATTGAACCTGACAAGCTATTGTTGTTGAGTCGGCTATCCTTACAGCGACACACAAAAAAGAAGTTAAGTTTCATTTCTAGCACTTTAGTATATATTATTAAAATCCTGCAGGAACCAACACATGCGCACACGTGCACACACAAGCACACAAAGAGAAGTTAGAATTTAATAAAATTAGGAAAGAATGAGGAATGGCTTAGCCCCGAGTTCCACTCCATTCAAGCAGAAAATAGAATCATGAAATCACCTTAAGGACAATTTGAAAACTACGCCAGTCAAGAAGGAAGTCCTTTTGTGAATACTTATATGCTAACTTGCAACAAATGAAGCATACCAAGTTCCCCAGTTAAAACTAATACATGGAATATCTCACTGCTTTCCTTAAACATAATCAACCTTCAAAAATTAACTTTTCATAATTACAAGTGAGAGTACTCCAATATCAAGGATGGTTTACTTCAATCTGCAGAACAGTCTCACATGCAAGGCAATATGAAACTATTTGAGTTTAAACTGCCGTTTTTACAGCAAAAGAAGATGAAATAAAAGGAAGGAAATAAATAATTGAAGTTCCTTTGTACCATTGATTATGTGTAAAACACTACGTAGTACCATAATTATGATGCTTGATGTTCATAGGCAGTTTTTTAGCTTTGTCCTAACCAATCACTTCTACTAAATAACACAAAAACTTGTAATGAATTCCTCTGTGCTAAGCAATAATGGGCATTCCTTTCTGCCATTGCTCATGAATTCCTTTGTGCTAGACATTTATTAACAAATTAAGCTTTGTGCTAAGCACTCTTTTCCAACAAACAAACTAAATGAAGTTCCAAAAAGTAGCAATGAATTATGCAAAGCAGGCAAGGCAAGGCAAAGGATGTTTATTCTTACAGGAAGCGCAGTTTCGTCAATCTGCCCAATGTGTTTGGAATAGGACCACTGAAACTGTTCAGGTAAAGATCCAAGCTCACCAAGTTTGTCAGATTCCCAAGATCACTAGGAATTGGTCCACTTATGTTGTTACCATAGAGTTCCCTGTCATATAAGAAATGGATCATAAATTATTAGATCTTAAAAGAAAACAGTTATGATGCTAGAAGCCTAAAACAATACAAACTAATAAGATAGTTCAAGAAAAGAATATCATTCAGAGCATATTAGACCCACACACTCTCTCATATATTGGAACATATAACAACTACACTAAATTTCTTAGTCTAACCAAATAATCGAAAAAGAAGTCAAGATTTTCTACAACCCTATGTAGTCTATAATCATGCAACAAGAGTAAAAAGAAGGTACAATGTACTCATCAAAACACTATGTAGCCATTGTTTTGAACTTATATCTTCTTCAAAGTTGTTATTAATAGCGACCATTCAAAATTTTTATTCTAAATGTTGTAAATTGTGATGACCTCCAAGTTTATCAAATACAGAAGATCATCAAACAGATGGAGATCATCATGCTAAAAGTGGACTAGCTAATTCATTGCATTCAGCAAGATCCATTTCTTCTCTGAAATTGCAGCAACCTTAATGAAGAATTCACTCAATAGTTAATTCAATTAAATACAGCAGATTTGTTGTGTGATATCTCAGTACCATCTTAAAACATTTGCTAAAATAACCAAAAAAAAAAAAAAGGTATTAGCATATAAAATATAAAAATCCTCCCTCAACAACTTTACATCAGGAAATTAACTATATCTCCTAAGACTTCATTTTCTCTATCAGACCATGTCCATGACCCCCTCCACTCCCCTCTTTTGAGAACAGAAAAGAAAAGTAGTCATTGATACCTACAGCAACTGGCATATCATCAGGCATCACTAACATATGCACACCTACCAATAACAATATTCACATAGAAACATCCTATTCAAGAAATAAAGATGATTAAAGAGGTAGCAAACATTGAACATAAAAATTGTCAATCAAGAACGCACAAGAAATGTTATTCAGAATTAACAGAAGCATAGAGACAAGAAGCAGTTAGGCACAAAAAATAGGCACAACATCGAGTGCAGATAATAAACATCCTTAAGGATGACTTACAGGTACTGTAAATTCTTAAGTTGGCCAACCTGTGGGACCAATTGGCCAGATAATGCTGCATTTCCAAGGTCACTGTAGGAGACAAGAAATGGTACTTTTACCATATAGATGATGATAAAACAAGCAAGGCTCTATTAACAAAGTGATTGATTAAATAAATTTGCTTACACTCTAATAACGCTATTGTCATTGTTGCATGTAACATGAAACCATGTACAGGGGTTAACAAGGGTAGGATCCCAGCTCTGCAGGACATTGTTTGGATCTAGTAAATTTGTCCGTAGATTATGCAACGCGTCACCTGCTTACAGATGCAAACAAATTCAATCACAAAATTGAGAGATGAAGGTCAATCAAAGGAAGCAAAGAACAACAAGAAGATAAAGCAGATTTTTAAAGCTTTGACGTACAGCCACTCAAATTCACATCGGCACTAGATTTTACCATCTTTGATATTCTCTAACAAGCATTAAATGACCCATTACACCTGACTATGTCCAACAGAATTTAGGAAGATGTACTCTTTCAACCAGCTAATGCCATGAGAAACCAACCAACTTTCAAAGATATAAATTACAAGCCAATTCCTTCCGTTGCCTAATCTTGATACCTCAAATTAAATCTTCATATAAACCCATCTCCCACTGCATTAAACTCCTCCTTCTTATCTAGGTCAAAGCAAAAGAACACAGCATAGCGCTTTGAAGCAAACAAAAATTGGATTCAGGCAAGAACTAATTGAAATTTTGAAACATTCTGCCCAAAATAGAAAATGGGTAACCAAATCCTTCATTGCAAAGCTTCTCATGTAAAAACTTAACCTCAAAAAGGTGGAAAAAAGAATTTTTCAATGATAGTAAATAACAGACTCTCTTTGATCTGATAGGAAAATGACACCTTAATTTAATCACAGACTAACATAACAAGCCCTAAGATCCAAAATTATTATATATATCTTGTCATAATCCAATATATAAAAAAAGTTTCTTAACTGCACATCCTATCAATGAAACACAATAAAAATAACTCTCAACTAGTCCAATCCAGCTCCATAAACACAATAATAAAGCATTAATTGCATCCATCACTTTTCAAAAATAATTCTATAAAGCCAACAGTCAACAACATAAAAAAGCATACACCAAACTCCATAATTCCACAGATTTCCTAGGGCCACAGCAATTAAATTTTAAAAAAAAAAAAAAAAAAAAAAAAAAAACCCAGAGAAAACCACAATTAATATGAAACAAGAAACCAGTAAGAACCTTCCATATTGGCAGAGATCCTTGAAAAAGGGAGTATGAATACCGCCAGGATCATCCACAGGGTAACCACAGAAACCCCAGTTTCTCTCTCCATTAAACTTAACGAAATGAACACTGACACAAACCCACATCACCAAAAAGCCCAAACCTTAGTACCTCATTTTAAAAACACAAAAAGAAGTAAAATTTCACACTCATAGCCCTCCACTCCCCACCCCAAAAGACCATTATTAACGAGGACTAATAAAAGGGTAGTTTTCAAAAGCAAGTCTAGCAGTATCCATGTCAAAAAAAAAAAAAGTGGTTAGATTAAGCAAAGAGGATTGTTTTTAATAAATGCTTGTACTTTTTGGCAAAAAAAAAAATTGAATTTGGATTAGTTTTTCTTTTTGTTGTTGTTAAGCTTTTTATGGAGAGAGAAGGTGGCGTGCAGTGGTGCAGTGACAGCTTGGGTCCCAGTCAAAGCATGCAAATGGCAAGGAGAGAGTGCAAAAGGTGAAGAGTAAAGTATTTATTTAATCCCTGTAGTTTTTATACATTAATTATTTAGTCCTTTTAGTTTAAAAGATTCAATATTGAATATCTCCGATAACACATTTTTTTGTAACTTTTTTTTATACTACAACAATTCTATTTTTTTTTTTTTACTAAAAAATTCTCTATTTATAATCAAATAATTCAATCTCACCAACTAAATACAATAAAAAATGCATTTAAAAAGGGTAGTTTGGATATTTGAAAAAAAAGTCAATCTGGTCTAGGAACTAACATATAATTTTTTAAAAAATAATGACTAACTTGCAGAATCACGAAAAACACGGAGACTAGAAATAATTATTCAAAGTGAATCGGTTTTGAAAGTCAAAAAACAAGAGGTGGGGTAGATGGTGCCAACTAGGACGCAGTCAAAGAAACTTTCATTGTATTTTTGGTCCAAGTACGCATGATTATTTACAGCATGATTAGGGTAAAAAATTAAAATTGTTGTGTGGTGAAATTGACAAATTGTTGGAGATGAGATTAATATCAACATAAATAATATTATCAATTTTACGTCCATGAGGATCTCTCTCGTATCTATATAAATCCAAGCTTTAAGGTATTCTATTTTTTATTTCTAAAGTCATTAGAGTTTGATCTTTACCTCGAGCCAATTTTATTATTATTTTTATTTTGCGTTTGATCTGGTCGGGTTTGGATCAAGTTTGAGGATCATCAACTCATTATTCTATTCAGTAATAAACTCAACTTGGATCAAGTTCTTGTTCACTAGGGTTTCAAACTAACCCATTGGATCCATCCGGGTTTGAGAACTATGGGATATACCTACTCTTTTTTTTTTTTTCAAAATTAAATTTTTATCCTCTTTTTTCCACACTCTCATGCTTAATTTGTTTATTTTATATACTTTTAAATCCACAATAATAAAAAAAATAATTAGTAAATATTTTATTATCTTAATTCTTTAAGTTGTGTTCGAAAATATTTAAACAGTATCTTAAAACTCAATTTTGTTATATAATAATCAGAATAAAGATTTAACATCACATATTACATGTATTTCGATGATTTTGACAAATTGTCTATCATCTTTTATGGAAAATAAAATACTCCTCGTAGATTAGTTCTAAAGCTAATCAAATTAATATTAAAAAATAAAATCGAACTCTTGAAATTGAATCTTTACGGTAATATTATAGACTCAGCAACAAGTATATAATTCTAAAATTGACGAATTATTGTTTGTTTTCAATTTTGTTGTTTTTCTTCACTTCAATTCAAACTTAATTTGGCCATGCTGTGATTTTATGTCTTGCTAAATTTTTTTTTTTTTTAAGATATGCATGCATGCATTTCTCCTTGGATTGAATGGAAGAAATTCGGGAAATACAAAGATAAATTTGATGAAATTTTTTACCAGGGACTCGGACGGCATGGAGATAATTCCAGGAATCCCTTTTCAGACAACTGCAGTGCATTCTCGGAAATCTCAAATGTAAGAGTTTTCAAAATGAAGAGTAATTAATTGCTTGATCCAGCCAGATATATTTATTACGTATATATTATTTAAATGAGTTGAAAAAGTCAAGTGCAGTTCTCTAGGTTGCCAGATAGGTTTTGCCATTATTGTTCAAAGGTTGCAAACCATCGGCCCAAACACAAGCCCAACAATATCCTCAACCTCATCATTCTACTTAAAAAAATATTAAAAAAGTAAATAAATAAATAAAGCATAACTGGGCCCGAAACTTGCATTATTTGCAACAGAAATTTAGAATTCACTAGCGGATTGCCGCGCGTTATGCTAGACGTCAGACAAAATAAAATTATTTAAAACTTTTTTTAATTAAAATTTTATAATTAATTAAGTTTTTTTTATGATGTTCATAATTTTTTATTTGAAAACACATAATTCATTCTTCTTTTTTCATTGATTCTTAAATAAAAATTTATAATAATTTCAACTGAAATATTAATTTAGAATTAAAAAAATACTTTAAAAATATATTTTCATAAGATTGCATTAAAAAAATAATAAAGCTACAATTAATATATAGACTTGTATAAAAACTAACAAATAAAAAAATTATTCTTATCTAATGCTGATGAGAAAATTATTTTTTAAAAATATATGAATTTAATATATATATACACACACACACACACACACACACACACAAAATAATCAACAATATTAACGTAAAAACATGTAGTTGAATCATTTGATGATTCTTTTAAAAAATTATTTCAAAAAATTTATTTCAAATAAATTGGTTTTATAATATTAAAAAATAATTATAAATGGTTTGTGGTATGTGTGTAGATGTATAATTATTTTTCAAGTACAATTAGTAATTTAATATTTTGTATACATCATGATTGTATTAAGTGAGTTGAGAACGTGCGATATAAATAGATAAACACTAAAAAAAAAAAAAAAAAAAAACTCGGACAAATTATCCGAAACATATCATATATATTTTATTATTGCTAGATTACATAGAAAACAAAACAAAAATAGATTGTTCACAATTTTTTTCTAAAAATCCATTAAAAAAGAAGAAGAAGCAATTATTGGGGGAAAAAAAAAAGGTGGAGAGCGAGGCTTGAGCGGGTGCTCGGGCTTGGTCTCAAGCTCACAAAAGCCAAGCCCAAAAAGAAAACAAAAAACTAGTTCCGTAATTTTCAACGAATTATAGCTCGCTGGAAAGTTAAGCTTAGATTTTTGGGCTTATCCAAACTCAAATTCAACCTTATTTTTGTCTAAACATAACTCAAAATCATATAAAATAACATCAATAAACTTGTTGTGAATCTCAAAATCCATTTTAATAGCACAAAAATTTAAATCAAAATAATAAGACTTTCGATTTACCTCATACTACCATTTCATGGCTTATGACTATTACAAACAAATTTTACTTTTCAAGATGAACAAAATAGTAGTGATTTCATGATTGAGGGTGCTAGAATTGGCCTCGCCATCCCTCACTCTCTCCTCCTTTCTCTCTCTCTCTCTTCATTTTTCTCTCTTCCAAATTGTCGGGGACCAAAATGCAATATAAATGAAAGTTTGAGACTCGAAACAAAAAAGTCCGAAATGAGAAACTAAAGTGCAAAAAAATTGGCAAACATTGTTATAAACAATAAAATGTATACTACAAATGATAATAGGTGAATAGTGGATAAATATGCATAAATAGTGGAAAAGAATTAGCATTTGCATAGTGTTTTTATGTTATGTTTTAGTTTTATTTACTAGTTTTTTTGTTCGCACTATGTTGCAGAGTTAAATAAAATATATAAAATCATTTAAAACAATTATTTTAGTTTGATTATCCGTTTTATAATGTGAATCTATAAAAATATATGAAATCAAAAGGGTAAAAAATTATTTAATAAAAAATTTTGTATTTAACTATTTGTTATTTGTATTTTTCATAATTTTTCCTTTAGAAAGAGGATTCATCCTTGTTAATCCATTGATCATTAACTAAAAAGAAAATTAAATAATGTTTTTCAAAAAAGTTTTAGTATTTCATAAGATTGTGTCGAAAAACATAAATAATAATTATTAAAAGCTTACATAGAATTGAATAAATAATTTTTTTATTTAATGTTGATGAGAATATCAATTTTTGAAAAAAATGTCAATTTAATTTTTATATATTTATTTACAAAAGAATGAATAATATTAAAATAAAAAACTATATTAAGCCAAAACATTATTTTAATTATTTAATTTTAAATAAGTTAATTTTAAAATATTCAAAAATAAATAAATAAATAGTAAATGCTTAGTGTAGTAGTAGTTGCACTGCTTAATTTCTAAAAAACAACGATTCAATATTTTTCTATATATCATAACTATACTAAGCGACTTTAGAATTTTCAGTGTAAAACAAAAAATACTATAAAAAATTAACTTAGAAGGAATATATTGACTAAATTTGAAGTTAATAGACTTAAATAAAAATTATTACAAATCTAATTTCAAATAATTTTGATTATATGAAGAAGAAACAAATTAATAAAACATATGAATTCTTTTTCTTTTTCTTTTTCCTCCTTAAAATTTTTTTTATTTCTATGTTATGCATGGCTAGTCCTTGAATATAGGCCTCACGCACAGAGCAACCGTCTTCTTTTTATTTTTCACATTTGACTTTCATCTATTAATTAATTAATTTGAGTTTTTAAAAAAAAATAAGAAAAAATTATTTGAAATACACTTTTAATCTGAAAATATATTTTAGAAAAATTATATATATTAATCATGCCACTATAATTTAAAAGTTATCTAAATCTATTTTTCAAAAGAAAAAATAATCATTTTTTAAAAAATTTATTCCAAAATCCATACATATAGAAAAATAAATAAAAAATGTTAGTAAATATAATTTTAAATTAATAAGATGAGAATTTTTTTAAAAAATGACATAAAGTAGTAATTTTAATTAATAAAAATAATTAATAAAAAAACTAAATCAAAATGGGACGGAATCACAATATAATCAAAGTTTGAAATTTGTTTTTTTAAAAAAGAGAGAGAATTTAAAAAAAAAAAAAAAGACAAATTAATGTAGTAAATTTTAAATAATAAAAAAATTGAGAAAAAATTATTTGAAAAACACTTTTAATCTAAAAATATATTTCAGATAAATTATATATATAAATATATATGATGCCACTATAATTTAAAAAGTATCTAAATCTATTTTTCAAAAAATAATAATAATCATGTGCTAAAAATTTGTTCCAAAATCCACACATATAGAAAAATAAATCAAAACTGTCAAGTAAATATAATTTTAAATTAATTAGATGAGAATTTAAAAAAATAAAAAATTAAATTAATAAATTTTAAATAATAAAAATAATTAATAAAAAATACTAAAACAAAATGGGACAAAATCACAATATAATCAAAGTTTAAAATTGGAAAAAAAAGAGAGAATTTAAAAAAATGATAAATTAATGTAGTAAATTTTAAATAATATAAAAACCTGAGAAAAATTATTTAAAATATACGTTTAATCTAAAAATGTATTTTAGACAAATTATATATATTAATCATGCCACTATAATTTAAAAATGATCTAAATCTATTTTTCAAAAGAAAAAATAATCATGTTCTAAAATTTTATTCCAAAATCCATATATATAGAAAAATAAATCAAAATTGTCAGTAAATGTAATTTTAAATTAATTGAATGAGAATTTTTTTTAAAAAAATGATAAATTAAAATAGTAAATTTTAAACAATAAAAATAATTAACAAAAAACAAGTAAAATAAAATGGGACCAAATCACAATATAATTAAAGTTTGAAATTGTAGAGAGAGAGAGAGAGAATTTAAAAAAAAATGATAAATTAAAGTAGTAAATTTTAAAAAATAAAAATAATTAATAAATTAAAGTTTGAAATTGAAAAAAGAAAAAAAGAGAATTTAAAAAATAAAAAATTTAAATAGTAAATTTTAAATAATAAAAATAATTAACAAAAAATACAAAAACAAAATGAGATCAAATTACAATACAATTAAAGTTTGAAATTGAAAAAAAAAGGTTTAGAAAATTTGAGAATCAAAGTGTTAAAAAAATAATATGAATAGTGAAAGGAATAGTGATTTATGAGTGTGTGAATAGTGTTTTTAAATAGTGAAATGAATAATAAAACTATGTTTTACTTTAGTTTGTTTTATAATTTTTAGAATGTCTTTCATTTAAAAAAAAAAACAGATGCATCATAATTCATTTTTTAGTCAAATTGAAATTTTTTTTAAATAATATATATATATATATATATATTGAAGAAATTTGATAAATGTAAAAGGGTCGGGCCTAGTCATGCATGCCGGCTTTTGGTTCAAGTACGCTCTTTTTTTATATATATTTGATTAAGTTCTTGCTTAAATATAGTCTCTAAAATAGATATTTATTTATTTATTAATCTAGATATATCTATTTTATATTAAAAATATGGCTAATTATGTTTGAAACAGTGCACGATAAAATTTAACTTCTCACATTAAATGCAACTCTAAATTTGAATCTTGTAAATTGGCATAAAATTCATCTAAAAATTAGTTCATTTACCATTAGACCAATAACTTGTTAGTGAAATAGAATTTTATTTGTTAAAATGAACTTTAATTAGTAATTTTAAATTCCAGTTTAATATATTTAAAAAAATAATCAAGTTTTGCAAATTCACATACAGCAAGCGATAGTTTGCTAGTATAATTATATACATAAGGTAAAGTTTGTATCCCAAAGTCGAGTCTGGTATGATAATATCGATAAATGAATTTGAATGGTACTGTCGCGACATAAATGATTTTTTATTTTTATTTTTTTATAAGGAATATGTTCGGATATAACCCTCACGTAACTTCATTTGGTTTCAGGTATGTTCGAAAGGGTTTAAAGGCATTTTTCACTCATTTGTAAGAGCGGGCAGACTTCATGATCAAGTCATTGGATTTTCGACTTGGCTGCTCGTGTTGCTCTGGATTTAATAATGGTTATAATCCATCTCAAAAACCATGTGGAGATATGCTTTTGAGTTGCAAAACTACTTTTTTTTTTTTTTTTTGTAAACTACAAAAATATCTAAAATTTTTTTGTTAGTTATGCAATTATATTCCATAATACATATTTATCTTTATCTTATTGTACTACAAAATTACAAATTTTATACTTTTTAATTATTTTAACATGTTTTTCAAAAAATAAATAAAAAATACATGAATTAAAAATAAAAAACAAATCTTATATTCCAAATTCAAATTCTCAACAACTAAAAAAAAAAAAGGGAAGAGAATTGATTAAAAATAAGGTATTTCTCTCTCCTAGGATTTGCTACAGTGAAAAAAAAAAGAATTGGTGAAAAATCCTCATGGAATTCTACATGAAATTTATGTCATGTTGTCATTATACCAATCATGTCACATCATATAAAAGAAAAATACTTCTCATGCTAATATAGTTACCGAAAGCTTAGTTTATATATTTTTCATCCATTTTTAAAATAACGTGTCAAAATAATTAAAATGTATAAAGTTCATAATTTTATGGTACAATAAAACTTTATCTTCATATAAATTGCAATATTTATATTCAATAGTACATTACAATAAAGATATTATTTTTTTAGCATCTCAAAGTATATCCTTGAATAATAAAACAAGCATACCTACTTCTTAACCAATTTTTTTCCTAAAGAAAACAAGAAAAATGCAATAAAAGAGATTCTATTAAGAAAATGATAAAGTCTATTACAATGTTTTTTTTTTTTTTCAAAACAATGCAATCATTGGTTTTGCATAAATTGTCACCTTTTATGTGTGTGTGTGTGTATATTGTGTATTCATACTCGAAACCATATTAATAGATAAATATTTTTTTTATCTTTATCCATTTTAACACCCATTAGATATTTTTAATAAATATTTATTGGACTAGATAAAATGAATATATATTTTATATCCGCTCTATTATCATCCCTAGTTGTGAATATGACGCATGTGTATAAAAAGCAAATAATTGTGCATATATATGTATATATAGTCCACAGAACTTCCGAATTGTATAAAAGAGAGGCTACGAAAGGAGTTTTATAATATACTAGCAGAGCATAGGCACTAAAAATTTGCAAGCTTATCACATGTTCCAAACACATAGTTGCCTAATTAAATCAAATTCTTTTGGTTTAAGTTAAAAAAAAAAAAAACATTTAAAAACTTCTTTTCTTCAAATTATCAAAATCTTAAAAATCTTCACTACTAAATCAAAAAACAATCAAATAAACATTAACATCTTAAAATTCCTCTAAGTCAAGTTCTAAAACTTAAATATCTTCGTAACAAAATAAAAAATCTTGTGAAGCTCATAAAACTCCTTGAGATCAAATACTCAAAACCCTAAAAACTTTTCATCAACTTACTTTCCTTTAATTAATCTTCACAAAATCTATCTCATTACATTTCAAGTCAAAATCAAACTTTCCAAATCCTCAACTTAAAGACTAATTAGTGCTTGAGTGAAAGAATTAGATGATGAATTCTTTTATCTTTAATACTTCAAGGTTTTTTTATTGGAATAAAAATAATTTATTTCATGTTTTAATGTCTTTTTTTTTATTATTTTAGATATTGATATAGCTGAGAAATATAATGTAAAAAAATAGAATAAGTTTGTAATATAAGATGTACAATGCTTGGAAAAGCAGAAAAGAAACATAGGTTAACATCAGATGGGTTAAGCACATAATATTTGGTTAATTAATTATTTGTATTTTCTCGTTTTAGAAATCTTTATTTTTCTATTATAGATGTAATAGAATCAAATCTAAAACTTGGCTAATTAAAAGGAAAAATGATCTAGTCTATTCTTACATAATTGGATAAGTATCCAATCTTTCTTTATACTATTAAATGAGTCAATTATATCTTTGTATTTAGCAAGATTTCAATTTTTTTTAATGATATTTTTCAACAAAATCATTAGATAATGTTACATTATTTGCATATGACCAATTTTATATTAAAACTACCGTTGAATCAAATGGACATATGCAAATCACCATCCATCATTATTCTCTCCCACCTTAGTTGAAATCTTGTTAAGAATAAGTACCAAACCCATTCTTTAGGTAGTAAATTATAAATTAGACCACGTAGTTTTTTGAAACAAATTATTAGTCATTTTGGTTTCAAAACTAATTATTTATTCTATAGATCATTGTTGACTGCATTTAATTTAATATTATTTTATTTCATAAAATATCATTTTTTTTACTTATTTCTATTATTTTCTATTTCTTAAAATAAAAATTTGAAATAAATAAAAAAAGAGTGAAAAGAATTAAGTTACAAAAAAAATATATATATAAGGATTAAATAATTAGATTTTGAAACAAAGATGACTAATTAATTTGTTTGTAAAAAATAGAGAGACTAATTTATAATTTACTCTTTTTTTTGGGTGAAAAGTTATTGGGTTGTGGAGGAAAGTGGCAAATTTGATGGTGGCCGGCAAGTGAAGACTTGATATTGGCCTAAAAAGAGTGAGGTAAAGGTTAAAAAAGATTAGTTTTAAGGTCTTAAGGTGTAGATCAACGGTTAGGAATTGATTTTAGGTATAATATAGAGGTTTTGACTAGAAAAATAGAAGTTTTAGAGGCAACTAGAAACGTAATGTGATATCTTGTTTTGAGGTGATTTTGATTGGATTTTTTAAAGAAAAAGAAAAGAGCGGAAGAAAGAATGGAAGAGAAGGAGAAGGAGAAGGAGAGGAGAAAAGAAAAAAAAATAAAAAAGGAGTTTGGTGCGTGTCCTTGGCCAAGGTGGAAGAGAAGGTGGTAATAAATTGATAATTTGTACATACTCACTTATTTGAGGATATTTTTAAAATAAAATTCATCATGTATAGATTAAATGATATTTTTTTGATGATTTTACCAAAAAAATATTAAAACTCATTTAAAATACATGGATATAATTGAGTCAATTTAAAATATAAAAATAGATGGGACGTTTATCCCATTATACAAGGATAAACTAAGCTACTTTGCTTACTTAAAATTTACAACACATATAAAAGATATAAATTGTGGGTTTAAAGTTAAAAAAGATGAAACAAAGCTTTATTAATTTTCAGGTGAGGAAAAAAAATATATTTTTTGATATTATGCAGTTAAAAATATTTAATTTTTTTCAACTTTTACATTCACATAACCTCAATTTAAGATTGTTTGTGCCAAAAAAAGCTTAAATCGATAGCAAAAGCTATTCAACAAACAAATACATTTTTTATATATTATATTATTTTTTTTAAAAAAAATTGAAGAATCCACATAACATGCATGTGCCAGTAGAAAAAAAAAGAAATGAAAAAAAAGCTGATGCTTGGAAATAACCAAAATAAGCTAATCTAAAATAAATCCACTTTATTTTATTACTTGATCATTCCATTAGAGTAAATTATAAATTAGTTCTTTATTTTTGATAAATAAATTAATTAGTTTCTTTTGTTTTAAAAATTAATTATTTAAATAGTATTGATCATGTTTAATTTAATTTTTTTCTCATCCATCTTTCCATAATATCTATTTATTTTTGAAAACCAAAAACAAAACATATTAAAAAAGAGTAAAAAATAGATAAAAATACTAAATAATTAATTTTTTTAAAAAAGAAGATCGATTAATTAGTTAGTTAGTTTTTTTTTTTTAAATAGAGGGACTAATTTATAATTTACTCCATTGGGCTGGCTGTATGCATATTTCATGCACTGACCAGGCCTAAATGGCCGAACGCGAAACCTTGAGAAAAGGGAAATAAGTCTCTAGACTTACTGGAGGCATAGCTTTGGGTTACAGGAACTAAATTAAATCAGCTGGTTAGAAATAAAACTATGGTCCACATAATGAGTTAAACAGTTTACAAACTTGCATCTTTGCCCTCAAAAAATAATAACACGAAGAGAAGCCTTGGTTCTTGTTTCTCCTGTACATTAGAATTTCTAACCCGGATATTGGTCGATTTCAGAGGTGGATTGCAAACAAGGTCCATGTGCTTTTTTTATTGGCCGCTGCCGATATGCAAATCCAATTACTGGGGCAGAAACTAGGAAAGTAGCCACTCCTCCAGCTATTGCATTCACATATCCGATAGGCTTGATCCCATCTCCTGGATTGAAAAACCAGACCATTATACGATCAGTCAATCATCTCATGTTTATTTATGATGGAATTCTCCTTGTTATTTTGGTTTCAATAGGCAGAAGCCACAGCCACAGCCTCAGTAGTAGTACCATTTCAAGAACATTAGTTGGTCAGGGATAAGAATAACAAAAACATTAATGCTAGCTAGTAGTATACTAGGACTAGAAACTACGGATAGACATAGCAGGAAGAGATGATCCAGGGCAAGCTTCCAGGAATGAATGCAAGCCTAACAGAACTAAATTCATTGTCTCATCTTTCTGTATTATCGTTGAGGATGCCAGAGACCAAATACATTCCCAGAGATTTTGTTTTGCCCAAGTTGCTTAAATATGAAATAGTAATAGGAGGGGATACATGTTTGTCATAACCAAAATCAGGCTTTTTTTATTTTTATTTTTAGTTGGTTATTTTTTTCTTTGATTTCATTTTAAGTTTTTTCATTTTCTTATCTTAATAAGTGTTTATTTATTTCATTTTACTTAGAAATTTGCAAAAAGAAAAAAATACAAAAATACAAAAATACAAAAATATTTGAATTGAACATTCGGGGATGCAATTGCATTAAATTCAAAATAAATACAATAATTGAGGATACAATCGAATCATTCAAAGTTCGGAGGTCGGATTATATTGGACAAGGACCAAGTTGACCTAATAATAATTTACAGGGACCAAAATGAAAAAATTACAAAAAATCAAAAGAAGAAAAAATTACAAGGTTTGTAGAGGAATGGGCGGCTAGTCGCCCACTCCTACCCGAACTAGTTTACGGGCTCTTGGTCATCCTACTTCCCTTGGAACCGAGTTTTGGTTTTCTAGTTACTGTAATTCTCTTCCATTGGGAACTAGCTTGGTTCTCGGTTTCGGCTCCTAATTTCCAGCGGTAACCATTATTCCTCAACTTGCAGTCGCCCAACTCCTCCTAAGTCCACAATCTCGGCACCCCTTTTGTTGCTTGTCACCCAACGACCCATAATCTCACCCTCCGCCAAGCCATTTTGTTAACCCCAAACTTGTCCCCGCATCGCAATCTCTCCTCCAGATTAACAAAATCAAGCCGACCACCCTATTTTTATAAATCCCGGCAGTTTCCTCATCACCCAAATCGGTCTCCACCACCTTACTCGCTGAAACTCCTGCGAGCACCACCTTATCGCCCTAGCCCACAATTCTAGCACAACTACCTTGCACGACCACCCTGCGTAGGACACAAAACCAATCCCATCCAACCCCCACTTGACAAACTCGCGGAAAATCCCCCACCATCATAATGGGGGAACCAACACAAGCATTCATATATATATATATATACACACACACACACACACACACACACAATTCACAAATAAAAAAAAAGGAGGAGGTCAAAAATTTTAAAAAAAAATTGACAAAACCGAAAAAAGAAAAATTGGGCGATGGTAAAAAAAAATTTCGAAAGGGAGAGGGTGAGTTTACTTATTGGAGAAGCTAAATCCCATCTTCCTTTTGGAATCAATTTCACCTAGGTAAGGTAATTTCTCTTTAATTTTTGAAATTTACTTTTAATTTTTGAATTTTTGAAGGTTTTGTTGTTTGGTTAAAAATTGATCTTAGGGGTTAAAATTAGGGCTAATTGAGTTCAATATGGGTTTAAACCCGAAATGGAAGCTCAATTGACACCAATTGAAACCTAGGGTTCTTGAGATTTTTGGGCAAAAACAAAAAAAATTGATTTGGGAGTTTTGCTAAAATTAGGTCTTAAAGGGTTTGAATTGACTTGATCTCAAGAGAAATCAAGTCAATTAAGTGTAATTGAACGAAAATCGAAGAAAATCCAACCTAGGGTTCGACCAAAATTGGGAATTTTTTGAAATTGATTGGGGGTTTTTCAATCTAGAGGAAAGGAAGGGAAATAAGAAGGAAGGGAGGGGAGAAAATTAGGTGGTGGCTTGGCCATAGGAGAGAAAGAGACGAAGGAGGGGAAAGGGAAAGAGAGAGAAAAGAGAAAGGGAAGAAAAGAAGAAAGGGAGAAGAGAAAGGGAAGAAAAGAAGAAAGGGAGAAGGGAAAGAAAAGAAAGAGGAAAGGAAGAGAAGGAGGGACGAACCGGTTTGGTTCATCCCATGGAGGTAGCTGGAGCGGGAGGAAGAAGAAGAAGAAGAAAAGAAAGAAGAAAAACGAGAAAGAGAAAGAGGAGAAAAATAGAAAAGGAATTGTTGATCTAAAAGTTTTTAAATCTTCATTTGGGTTATGTTTTTCGGCTAAGGTAATTTTAGCTTAAGAAGTGTGAGTTAGGCTTGGCCCAAACCATGTGTAAGTGCCCGATCCGGAAAAAAAAAAAAAAAAAGGTCCAGTCAACCGAATTCTTAAAAAAAAAAAGATATATATATATATATATATATATATATATATATATATATATATATATATATATATATGTGTGTGTGTGTGTGTGTGTGTGTGTGTGTGTGTGTGTGTGTGTGTGTGTGTGTGTGTGTGTGTGTGTGTGTGTGTGTGTGTGTGTGTTTCTTAGTTTTAAAATTCAAATTTATGTCTCGTTTGTTATTTTTTTATTTAGATGTTGAATTATTTTTTTAATTAAATTTAAATTTTGAGTTTATTTTATACATGTTTGTTAGTTTATGTTAACTTAGAATTTAATATTTTAATTAATGTAAATTTAATTATGAATTTATTTTATGCATGTTATTAATTTAAATTTTGGTATTTGATTTTTTTTATTGAATTAGTGTAACTTTTAATTTACTTGTTTAGTAATTAGATTCGATAATTAATAAGTGGAGAATTGTCAAGTCTTTTAATTTTTAGGGACTGATGACTTGTTTTCTATCAAATAAAAAATAAAAAAAGAGAAAAAAATAAAAAATAAATAAAAAATAAAAAAATTATAAAACTCATATCAAAGTCTCATATCCGATAGGAATCTGTTGTTAGTTAAAAAAAAATTAATAAACAAGTGTTCTCCGACACACCGGTTGTGTCGAGACTCAAAAAGTGGATTCGATCTTTGAATCGACGTGTCTCTCGACGGAAGGGGTCCGACGATTGTTTCAATACGACACCATGCTAAAAAATAAAAAACTTAATTTGACTTGAAAAATTAGAGTCTTAAAAATCAAAAAATAATTTAGTGAAAATAAAATACTTTAGGAGATAATTTAGGACTAAGCTAGACGTGGTACCTTTATTAGGAAAAGGACGCTTTTGGGTGATTAATTATCTTCCCATAAGCATAACCAACTCCTTACCATATAATCTCTAAACCGGTACCAATTTTAGATTCATAGTTCCATCAATACTAGGTGGCGACTCCTAACTCGTAAATAATTTTATAAATAAAAATACATCTTAAACTAGAAATCTTTTTTAGATATTTTTCGAGAGTCCTATCCGACGTCGGATAGCGACGGAATGGCGACTCCACTCGGGGACCTAGTGTCGGGCCATAAGTTTAGTCCTTGCAAATTTATTTCCTTTATTTACTTTTGCCATTTATTTTTATCTCGTCTTTTATTTTTCAAGTCATTTATTTTCTTATATTATTTTATGTCTTTAAATTTTTTTAATTCATTTCCTTTTAATTTTTGTACATATTTAATTTATTTTGAATTGGGTTATATGGTTTTTTGAAATATTGCACACACACCACGAAGGAAACCTAAAAAAGCTTTGGGCCCAAGTCGAACCCCGTTATGATTTAGATAGAGAGATTCGAAGGCAAGTATAACAAAAGTCCGTCGATGCTCTTTCGGACTCTTGTTTGGACTAGAACTCGTCCTATGCATAAAAAATAGTGGAATAACCTTTCCCTACCTCCTAACACATAAGGTAAGAGGTCTGGATTACCCAACTTGTAATTTAGACGAGTTCGGGAGCTTAAAAAGACTTAGAAGCTAGACCGAGCTTCGCTAAACCATAAACGAGCTAGATCCTATCCATGAGGTTTGACTCGATTAAGACACGAATCATTTTCAAACGATGTAAATGCTAACTCGTTGGTTCTTGCGGGTAGTCCTTCACATTAAATCACGACGGAAGAAATCGAAATGACATTGAGGATTTTAGGGTCGGATCAAAACGGGCCCAAATTGATGAGGGAGATTGTCCGCCCTCGAGCTTTGTGTCAAAGCCTGTTTGAGAAAGCAAAACTCACCGACAAGCTAACCAATATGGGACCACTACTTAGTTGTTAGGAAATACTTACTCTATCGATAGGTTTGACTTTCGGAAGATGTATGATGATATAGCTCGACTACTTAAGATTAAAGTTCGGATCTCGTGCTTCCAAACCATGATTGGGCATTAGGATCCGGAATATCGCTGCTTCACTTTTGGGAGTGTGGATATGTCACCCACACTAGAAGAGTATGATGCTTTGCTAGCATTTTCCGAATCAAAGGTAGTTTATTTCTATAGCCCTCATGAGCAAGCTCTAGCACACTTCACATGGTTGATCGAAATAGACTCGACCATTGCCGATAAGCAAAGGACCCGGAGGGGTCGGAGGCATGGATGGTTTTGGAATCTCCTTCAAACAGAATTCACAAAAAATCTACATGACATGGATAATAGCCTTAGGCTCGGAATACCGACATTGGGCATATACGGGTTAGTACTACTGTCGTCAGCTGAAGGTGTGATTGACTTCGAAGCGATAAATGTGTTCAAGAGTGTAGTATCCCTAAAAAATCAACCCTACCGCTACAATCCTAGTAGAAATACTTTCATCCTTGAATTTTTATTGAAGGAATGAGGATGAACATTTGAGGTGATGTGTCCCACTACTTGTTTGTTTGAACGGTTAGCCACACGGTGATCGAAAAGGCCTTGAGAATCTTTCACACACTATGGCACTTACATTCCAAGCTCGGAGAACTTTGCTAGACACCCCTCAATGAGTTAGGAAAAATAGTATGGACAGGTATGTTATTGAGCTTAGAGAAGTTAGAATTTTACTAGAAGGCACAATATGCTTTTTACGGTCTT